CCTGATGTGCCTCTCTCTGGCTCTTGTTCTAGAAAATCCCAAGGGAAGCAAGGGGAAGGAAAGGAGAAAAGAAAAAAAAAAAAGAGCTCTTATCCAGAGCTTGCCTTAAGGGCAAACTTCCAGAAATTTCAGTCATCTGGAAGCCAACCAGAAATTGGGAAATAAATAAATAAAAAAGCTTCTGTGAAAGTGTTCAATACTTACTAAAGGAGTCAAGGCCATGATCGCTAGCCACAAAGGAGGAATTGTCATAAAGTGGAACAGCCTGAAGAGACACAATAGTTGTGAGTGATTTTGAGATCCTGAATCAGATTCTGGATCAGAAAAAGAGTATTCTAGAGAAATTAGGTGAGAGTCACATACAATACCTTGTTAATTTCCAGGTTTTATGATCACATATGCTGTTGACATCATATATTATTGACATTGGAGGAAGCTGGGTGGAGGGTATACATGGACTCTTTGTACTGATCTGGTGGCTTTTCTCTAAGTCTGAAAATATTGAAATGAGAAAGGTAATTTGTATGCAGCCAGCCTGGTAAGGATGATGACATCATCCCATCCAAACCTAGCTTTGCTGGCTGTCCATGAACTGTAGATTGCTGATTTTAGTTGTTAGTTAATTTTATTTGGTTAGTGATTTTGCAAAGGGTCTCAATCTGTAAATCAGACTAATATCAAACTCACATAGATCCTCCTGCCTCTGCTTCCCAAGTGCTAGAATTAAAGGGTTATGCCAGTATGCATGGCCCTTACTTCCCAGTTTTATTTCCTATTCTTTCAAGAAATTTTTATGAAAGGCCCAAAGCTGAGGACTTGGTGTTGAACTAGACCAGTTCCTGTCCTGGAGAAGCAGTCCTGGGAGAGAGGTGCACAAACTCTTGAAAAGGTAGGAGAGGAATCACATGTCAGGGCTGGTGACCAGGTCTTAAATACCCTGTAGGTGTGGTCTTGATCAGCTCTGGGGGGGAGGAGCTGACCCTTGGTGGGCTTTCTGAGGGGTGGGATCTGGAATGGGAGGAGTGAAGCCAGAGTTGAGATTATCAACCCAAGAGTCTGAGTCATGGAGAGTCTGTCGGTCTACACCTTCCTCCAACCCCATCCACAGTTCTGGGGCTCAAACCTGAGGTTGGTTTGTGCTAGGCAAACACTCTATTACTGAACTGTATCCCCAGGCCATATTTTTCATCTTTTTAAATTTTTGAGATAGGGTCTCACTAATTCACCTAGACTATCTTTGAACTCTTTGTGTAGCCCATGCAGGCTTCAAACTTGTGATTCCTCCAGCATCATCGTGCTGGATAGCTGGGACTACAAGCATGCACAACCAGTCCTAGTTTGTGCCATGCTTTGAAACTGCATAGATACAGCACTGAAAAGTGATGCTGGGAAACCAGCTCCTTAGCACTAGGCCAAATGCATGAGCTTCCCTTGCCCGCCAGACAGCCTTCCATCTCCTCACCTAAAGTCCTCACCTGCTCCAGAAGGATACAGATTTTCTTCAAAATGCTGCATTCAGGGCACATGTGCCAGGAAACAGCTCCTTACAAGAGCATTTCAAATTCATCATGGACAGCTTAAAAGGCCTAGTAACAAAACAGCCCATGACACCCTCCAAGTAGTATAGTTATTGTATGTCAGTTAGAGAAATGAAAATGACTGGCAGGTATGATGGGGGAAGCCTTCTGTACATATGTTTCTTTTATTGGTTGATGAATAAAACACTGTTGGCCAATAGGGAAGCGAGATGGGCAGGACTATGAGACAGGGAGGATTCCGGGAAGTGGAGTAAGGAGAAGTCTCCATGTGCTCCCTGGAAGAGAGGACACATTAGTCTGGAGTTCTCAGTAAGATAAGACCATGTAGCAATACATATATTAGTAGATACGGGTTAATACCTAAGAAAGAGCTAGCCTATAAGAAATCCTAGTCACTTGCCAACATTTTATAATTGATATAGTGTCTCATGTGTTATTTGAGGGCTCTGAGGTGGCTGTGGAACCGGGCGGGAATACTACAACACAAGTAGACTGGGACAATGCTTCTACGGACTGTCAAATAGGAAGTGCCTCAATTCCCTTGGTACTGGACTCTGGATTCCCTATTCTGTATGTCTTGATGAGTACATTGGACTAGAAACTTTCTTGAACTCCCAGGAATCACCAGAAGCTCTAGCAGAGAAGATCAAGGCACAAGAGAGAGGCGGGGCAAAATCCACCCTTCCCATTGGCCACTCCACAGAGGGGCCACAGGCCACAGATGCTGCAGAGGGATACCCAAGCCCCAGATGATGCCGCGTGAGACTCCTGTTGGACCGTGTTTCTGAAAATACAAGTATTTTGTCCCAAGATACACAGCAAGTAAATGGAAGAGAAGGGATTTGAACACGGGTGTCCTGATATCAACCCTCTGGAGTTAGAGGCTGAGAGAACATCTCAATGTTTTCTGCAATGTAGGCCCCTGCTGGTCAGTGCCATACATGGGCACTGTACACCTTCTGTGTGCCAGGCCAGCCCCCTCTCCTCCCTCAATGTGACCCTTTGTCATTTTCTTACTTATCCTCTGAGATATTGTTGGAAAACATGTGCACCTGTGTGTGTGTGTGTGCGTGTGTGTGTGTGTGTGTGTGTGTGTATGTGTTTACGTGCACGCGCACGCGCGCACACACACACACACACACACACACAGAGAGAGAGAGAGGTTTTTCATAGGAAGTATTTTTCTGTACTACTATTCATATTCCATCTCCTTCAGAGGGAATCAAACCCACTTCAAAGCACACACACATTGTATGTTTTCTCTAACAAGCTGGTGCCTTCTGGTCCCAGGAAACATACCACATCTCTATTTTCCTGTATCAGGGAATACATAAGGACAATAGAAAACAGTTTAATGTTTTAAATGAGCAAATTGGGGAAAATGGAAATAAAAAGTTCAAAATGACACAAAAATGCACAATTCCCATACTTGCCTGAGATTAAATTCCTCACCCCCAGCCTCCACCAGCACTGACTAAGTAGCAGCAGTTGCAGAGGGAAGCATTCTATAGCAGGATCTGCAAAATTCAAGAGGTCTCTTCAAATAAATGAAAAGATAAGGAAAACTGCTGTTCAGAAGAAAGGAAACTGTTTTCGTAGTCTGGAAATTCTTGCACAGATGGAGTAAATGTTATTTCCTTTTCCTTTACCTCTTGTGTTTGGAATCCCATGCAGATCCCCCACCCCTCATCCTTACCCCCACCTCTATCTTCAAGCTGGGAGCCCAGCTCTCTTGCTGAAGCTGGGCATGTGCATGAAAACCGGATATATTATTGTTCAGTGTCAGTGTGGCAAGTTGCTGTGGTTGTTATTATTATTATAGTTGAGCATTAGAAAGCACATCGTTCTGCTGTTGAGAGAATCTGCACAAAGAAAATATCACAGCGTACCCAGCACCTGGGATAGGAAACAGCACTGCCGGGCTATCTGAAGCTCTCGCCCAGTCACAACATGGTCTGAACAGAAACTCTGCCCAGACCCTCAACCCTGCAAATTTCCTTCCTGCTTTGGATCATTACGTAAACAGAGCTGTACAGTGTCTGGCTTCTTTCATTCACCACTGTTTGTCCTTTGTCCATTCTGCAGTCCAAAGCTGTTCTACCCTCACTCTTGTGGCTGGATTTGGTCATGTGACTTTACTACAAATTACTCTCCCTTGGGTGGGCAGGAAAATGAAGACGATCATGGGTCGCACACTGTACCCTGAGTTGGCTCTTAATAAATCCTTGAATGTCTGAATTCATGGAATGTCAATATTATTTTTCTTAACTTTTCATCTAGACTCGAATGTAGTCTTTGAAAACTGTGTCTGGCAGCTGATATTATTTTAAACACTGAAATCTATTTTTTTTGTTTGCTTGGTTTTTTGAGACAGAGTTTCTTTGTGTAGCCCTAGCTGTCCTGGAACTCCGTCTGTAGACCAGGCTGGCCTCGAACTCAGAGACCCACCTGCCTCTACACCCGAGTGCTGGGATTAAAGGCGCATGTCCCTACACACCTGGCTTGAATTATATTTTTGTAACCAAAGATATTTCAGTCCTGTGGGCCAGCAGAGCAAAAAAAAAAAAAAAGAAAAAGAAAAGAAAGAAAGAACAACAAAAACAAATCAAACAAAAAAAATAGAAAACCTGTAAGAAGCATGCTTTTCTCCACTCTCTTGTGAAAGTAAGCATTCAACGCTGTGCACAGCATTTGTTGAAACTGCACTGTGCATCAGGAGCTATCTGTACTCAACACTTCCTGGTATTGTCAGTGGGGGCTCCAGACAATGGCCCCGGAAAATAGCTTTGCTTTTCACTCACTATGCATTGTCTGTTTGTCCTCCATCCTTAGGTTTCACTTTATAAACCCTTTGCAGTCATTAATGTCCCCTCTTCCCGAAAGCCATCCAGGGCTAATCCAATCCCCACTAATTTCCCTTTCTTCTCTGGACCCAAGACCAAAGTGTATGCAACAAAAGAGGGGAAAAATGTGACATAAGACAGAGCCATCTGGATAGAAAATCAAGCTCACTACTGCAAATGAAGAAAGGATTAAAGGATAAAAGTCACAAATGTCATACAAGTATAATGTGAACTCATGTCTAAAACTTTTATTTAACTTATTAGCAAAAGAATCATTAACGATGTATACATCGTTCTGTCTCATATGCAGAACCTAGATTTAAATAGGTACCAAGCCAGGTGTGGTGGCAGACACCTGCAACTCCAGAACTTGGGAGGTGGAGTAGGAGGATCATTGGGAGGTGGAGGTAGGAGGATCAAGGGTTCAAGGTTAAGGGCTGAAGAGATGGCTCTGCAGTTGAAAGCACTAGCCATTCTTCCAGGGGACCTGGGTTCAATTCCCAGAACCCACATGAAGACTCATAACCATCTCTAACTTCAGTCCTGGAGGATCTGATGCCCACATACATGGACATACACGCAGGCAAAACATTCACACACATAAAGTTTTAAAAACTAATTTTAGAAAGAAGCTCAAGGTCATACTTGAATGCACACCAAGTTCCAGGCTAGAATAGGCTAGCTACATGAAATGCATCAAAAAGAAAGAGGGAGTGGACAGACACCTCAGGGATTAAGAGTGCTTGCTGCTCTTCCAGAGAACCAAAGATTGCTTCCCAGCACCTAGGTCAAGCAGCTCACAACTGCTTGTAACTCCAGGTCCAGGGAATCATACGCCCTCTTCTGGCCACCTACAGCACCTGCACACAAATACACAAAATAAAAATGTTTAAAATAAAATCATTTTTCTTCAATGAAAGGAAGGGAGGGAGGGAGGGAGACTATTTGGGGTCAGTGGGAGAGATAGGGAGATAGGGAGGGTGATATGAGCAAAGTATAATGACACATACATGAAAATGTCATAAAGAAACTAACTGTTATGGATTATTTCAAACGATGTTATGCCCCATTCTTACGGAAACTCCAAAAATGGGGTATTGATGGAAAGCTGTTGCCCAGCCCCCACAGACCCCATAGATAATTCAGTGGTCATGAAAAGTGTACATCCATTCCCATTTTCTAGAACTTATAGATATTTCAGAAGCTGTGGATCCCATTCCACATAGAGGGATGCTCTCTCAGCCTGGACACATGGGGAAGGGCCTAGGTCCTGCCCTGGATGAAATGACAGACTCTGGAGATCCCCCCAAGGAGGGCCTCACCCTCCTAGGGAATGGTGTGGGGATTGGGTGGGGGCTGGGGTGAGCTGGTGGAGGGACAAGGGAGGAGGGGTGGGAGAGGGAGCTGGGATTGACATGTGAAGCACACATGTTTCTAATTTAAATAAAAACATATTGAGGAAAAATATGGAGTCAATTTTACATTGAAAAAATAAATATCTGTCAACTTTTTAAAACAAATCTCTCATTCTTTCCTGGTGCTGCCTACCCAGTGGTGCATGACTGCAGAGTTGCTAACGGTAGAGGCCTTGATCTTTCCATCTGTGAAGTGGGGCAGTTATGTAGACAAATCTGCCCAAGGTCTCAGCACACAGGGAGCTATGCCCATGGAGAATGGACGTTGCCACAGTGCCCGAGTTTTCTCATTCTGTGTCAGCTGTTACCTCTATGCTCCTGACTTCAGGAAAGACCGATCCCTGCCCCCACCATGAGCCGAGGTATCTTGCTTCATCAGCCTATAATGCCGGTAGAACAAGTTCCAGGGCTCTGACAAGATAATGTATGTGGAATTCTTCACCAACCTGGCAGAGGTTTTCTGGTCTCTGTGCCCTTACCCTCAAGGTCAAGGCCATGTAGAGATTCAGTTTAGTTCAAGACTGGAAAAGCATTGCACCACACTTCCATAAAGAGAAATTTAGACAGTGCACCAGAAGGTTTATGTGACCCATTCTTTACAAAATGAAATTACTCCGGAGAAAGGAACAGCTCCCTGTTAGTGGTTAGGGTAACATGAATATATTGTCACTCTAGAGTAAGTCTTGACAGACAGCCTTTGGGGGCTCTCAACAGTGCACTGCCCTGAGAAGTCCCCTTAGTTCATTATATAAGGAAATACAACAGACTGGTGATTTATAATGAACAGAAACACATTTGGCTTGTGGCTCTGAAGGCTCAGAAATCCAAGATCAAGGGCCACACTTTGAGAGGGCCTTCGTGTGGCATCATAGTATGTCTACAAGTAACCCCTGGGTGAAGAGAATGAGGGAGGAGAAGGTCTAAGGAATTCACTCGGAAGATAGCCACTCCCTCGATAATGACGCTAATCCCTCCATAACAGCTGGGTTATCTCTTAATGTGATCCATCTTTCAGTCCTGTTGCACTGGGAATTCTAACGCGTGGACGCTGGGCATATGTTCAAACCCTGCCATTATAACCTGAGTCCCTGCAGGGCTGCTCCCCTCACCAACCTCCCTACCTGATTCTTGACGGAGCAGATGCTGGACACCCCTGATGTCCATGAATCGCACAGACACCCCGCTGGCATAAAGGATATTCATAGACATCAGGATTTCCACTGCAGTGTTGTCTACAGGAAGAAAAGGGAAGCAAGCTAGATTGCAGCAATGGGGAAATAAAGCAAAACACGAGACAGCCCTCAAGTACAGGGCTAGGCAGCACTTCAAACTGTAGCACAGGTGAGGAAAGAGGCCACACTCAGCCAGCTCACTCTATTTAGGCATATGTGCAGAATTACACAACTTTTTTTTAAAGGAGAAAGAAAATGCAGTAATAAAGTGGGTGGTTTCCTTTTCTTCTTTCTCCTTTTTGGTGTTTTGCTCATGCTCTACTCTAATATGTATTTGTGGATGGGTACGGAGATGGCAGTCACAATCCAACTGCGTGAAGCTCGGCCCAGCCTCACCAAGTCGACTTGAAACTGCTTTGACATCTGAGGCACAGATCTGTCAGACCAGAGATACCCAGCTGAGAGGGTGGGGAGTATAAAGCCATGAATTCTTTAGGGCTGTGTCCTTCCCACTCAGAGTGAGCCACACCCGCATCCCATACCCTAAAACACATGCACACTCAGGCTTGCCCAAGAGTGATCATTCAACAACCAGAATGTCCGTCTGCTGTGGACCAACTGATGTCTGCTCAGAAGGCTGTGGTCAGCCTGTGTGCAGTGGGCAGAGCTGCGGCCTAGGAGTCAACCTCTAACCCTGGCTTCCTGGTTTGGTCTGCTCTCCCCTTTTCCCGGTGTTTCATTTGTTCATCCACAAAATAAACAAAATGTTGGGATTCGGGCAAAGGGCCCACCCAGGCCTTTTCTTCGGATCCTTCATTCTAATCCAATTGGTTGCACTTCCCGGCTCCCTCCACCATGCCAACCCCAATGAGCTGAGACGAACCCCTGTAGGTATGGATAGGGACCAAGGACCCAGTCAAGGAGGCAGAGTCCCAAATCAACAGCTGCCCAAGGAGGTTGGGAGGGCATCTAATCCTGACTCCCCACATGGAAACGGGAGCCATGGTGCCTAACAGAGCTGAGGTACAAAGCCATCAGTTTCCTCCTGGAGGCCGCTCTGTCCCCGCCTCCCAGTTGGGGCCTGCAGCTGGCTCACTTCTCTTCCACAAGGTCCCCAGGGCTCCTCTGCTTCCCCGAGGTGTTATCGTCAACACTTTCAGCTCTTTGTCGTCATGTTTTATTTTCGAGAACCACTTCCCAGGCAGTGGCAGGTCTCAGGGTTTCAGGTGTCCTTGCTTCTTTAAACCTCAGCTCACTCATCAATAAAATGTGTCTTTGGAGAGGGTTGGCAATGACTCAACTCATGGATTCCCCGGTCGTATTTACCAAGTGCCATCCTGCACAGACCCCTCACAGTCCCACCCAAATGTAGCATCCCTTGCAGGACACTCCCAGGTGAATAAATATTCAAAATGATCCTGTCGGTAGCTGTAGAGCACACCAATATATTTAAATATGCAATAAACAGGGACTTGTGGTAACGACGGAAAAGAAAAGCCTGGGAATGGGGATGGGGTGGGGTGGGGTGTGGTGGCATGGGGTGAATGCTCCCAAATGCTCCTGATGCTCCCAAAGTGGGGTGAATGCAGAGGAGTCCCTGGGACCCAGGTCCCTCCCCTGAGCCAGGGATCTTCCAAGACACACTTGCATCGGCCAAGACTGAGCACCAAGACAGAGGGCACTGGGTGGGCCAGGGGTGAAGAAAACAGGCCTGCTGGTCGCTCAGATTGGAAGCCTTGACCAAGCCTACGTGAAGAGAATTCTAGCAGCTGGGAACCAGCGGTCCTGACAGGCTCCTCTGCCCATCCCAAAGGCCAGCAGGCTGTGTCCCTCCTGCCGCCACCACCCTTTGCTCTCGTCTCTGTCCAACCTGTCTGGCTGTCCTTCCCTGACATATGGTTGATCCACCCTTCTCTGCACGTCTGTCTGTCTGTCCACCCTTGACATGCCTGCCCGGTGCATCGGCCTCCCTGCATCCCTGGGCCTTCTCGCCGCCCTGCCCCGCCCGCCCGCCCGCCGCCGCTGTGTGGGTGTCGGGCTGGCTGTGCGCAGAGGGGCGCGGCTCGGCTCTCCCACCTCCCCCGCGTCCCCATCTCAGCCATGACCCGGGCCGCGCCGCCTCCGAGCTGAGACCCGGGAGTCGCGCCGCCGCCCAGAAGGACCCAAGAGGCTGACGGTGGCGCAAGCGGCGGTGCGGGGACGGCGACGGGCGGCGAGGCGGGGCTGCGACAGGGCAGGGCAGGGCAGGGCCCGGGAGACCGCCGCCAGCGGCTCGGTTGGAGATTGCGGGCGCGGGTCCGCTCGGCCGGCCCCGCCGGTGCGCCCCGCCCCTGCACGCACAGCAGGCCCAGGAGGAGCGGCGCGACGTCCCAGCCCAGCCCGAGCGCCGCGGCATCCGAGCGGGAACCGGAGCCCGAACGGGACCCGAGCTGGAGCCGAAGCTGGAGCCGGCACTGCGGCGCACGGAGCGGAGCGCGGCAGCCAAGCCGAGTAAGGGGCGCGGGGCACGGGGAGGGCCGCGGAGGGGGTCCCGGTGGCTTACGCACGCGGCCGGGGACGCGCTGGGCGGCGGGGGACGCGGTCCGGAGCGGAACCTGAGCGCGCGCGGAACTGAGCGGCTTCCCGGGACTCCTGCGGTTCCTGCTCCAGCATCCCCGACCCCCCCCACCCCCCAACCCGGGAAATACAAGGAACCCGAGGTCTCCCTCCTGCCTGAGTTTCCTCCAGTAGTGGAAGTCTGAGACAGGGTCCCCAGCCCCGCGCCCTCGGTCTGGAGGGTCGCAGACCTGCCCACTCAGGAAAAGACTCTAGGGTGCACTCTTGTCTGGGGTGAGAGAGAAAGGACTGAGGTTCCATGGAGTTTGAGTCTGGACCCTCTCCCACCACCTTAAGCCAGGAAGTTTGATGCTCCATCGCGCGGGTTGCTTGGACCATGTCCCTGATTAGCACCTAGAATAGAAGGACCTTCCTCGCACCCCCCCCCCCCCCCGTAAGGCAGACTTTCCCAAGTGCATCTCTTGGGTAGAATCCGAAGCTGAATCAGAGGTGGCGATTCCGCTGACTGAGCAGCACTGAGTGGTATTGCCACCTCTCTCCAGGTTCCTTCCCAAGCTGGGCAATGCCCACTGTGCCCCAGCTGACTCGCGCAGCCGTTCCTGGTTGTCCTTTGGGCTCTGCAGTCCAGGAACAGGCAGGTAGTGCCGACCCTGGACTACCGTCCTCAGCCACTCCAGTACCACCACAGGCAGCCAGACCCAGGCGAGGAAGAGAACACAAGCGATACCAGAGGAGCAGGGGGCTGCCAGAGTCTTGATTCACTGAGTCCAAGTGCACCTGAGGGACAACAGAGGTCCCTTTCCGTTCTCAGTTATAAGACTGCATACTAGAACCACTGACTTCGCCACCGAGTGCCTCAGTTTCCCTCTTTGAAAAGTAGGCACGATTCTGTTAGTGAACTGTTCAGAAACGTTGGAACCATACAACACTCTGGGCTGATTCCCTAGCTCTGTGATCTTAGGCAAGACACTTGACTTCTCTAAGTTTGTTCCCCTTGTCTGAAACACATGGAAGATGAATCCAGATCTTTAGCCGATTCTTCTGAGGCACCAGACATATCTAATACTTGACTACATTTGGCCACAAGTGTCATTTTCTGAGACAAAGTGAGTTTCCCTGATGTGAAGGAACATGGTACCGCCCTCTTTCCCACCCTCTAAGACAGCCTTTGGCTCCCCTGGGCCTACTGACAACTCACTGCAAAGCAAGACTTAACTTTAGCCCGTTTCGCAGGCAGCTGCTGGCATCCGCTGCCCTGCCCAGACACTCTCTCTGTGCCTCCATCCAGGTTGTTAAGATGCTCACTGACTGACTACTAGGGGAGCTCTGCCCTTTTCCCTTTGGCTGGTACTTGCTGCCTAGGCTGAAACACCCCCACATGATTCTTCATGCTCTGTACAAAGGAATCTGCACACCTCACTCCATTCACTCTGGTTTGGGTGAAGGGAGGATTGCCTTCCACGGGGTGGCTTAGGTGAGCCACGGTGATGGTTCCATTCGGTGACAAGAAGCCCAGTCAGTGGGACGGGGAGGTTACCAAGAGTCAGAAGGGTGCCCTCTGTGATGATCCCTTGCTGACTAGGGTGTGTCTGCCCGGGGCCAGGAGCTCACAGGACTGTGAGAAACCTAACAAAGGAACTGGAGCTGGTGACAGACCCCATGGTATGAACTTAAGAGCAGCCCTGCTTCCTGGAAAGGCTCTCCCTGAGTCTGGGCAGCAGGGGCCCTGGGCCCAGAAGAGACAGATTGGTCAGATGCCCCAGGGCTTAAGGAAAATGTGAGCATCCGTGGGGGAGAGGGACAAGGAGGGTGTAGGGTGCCAGGAGCATTGTTGGAAAGAAAGCAGAGGACACACCCATGTCCCTGCCACCTAGAACTGGAATGAAATCAGGAAATGTGTCCACCTGTTGCTGGACAGAGTGGCTGCCTCCTTGGTGGTGTTCTCTCAGAAGTCCCTCTCTCCTTCTTTGGTAGCCTCCTCCACCCCGCCCCCATTCACTCACTAGGGTGTCCCATTCCCTGCATCTTCTATAACCCTCTCCCCTCCTCCTCCCGAAGGAGTTCATCAGAGGCTAATTAGGTTGGTTCTGCCGCTTCACTCAGTATTTGGAGCATAGCTGATAGGGAAGGTGATGGGGATCTCGGGTGATCCTGGGTCTTTGGTAATAATCAGCTGGACACCCTCAGAGGACATCACTGTCATTTGAAACCCTAGTCACAAACGTGTGTCGAGCACAGGATAGGACATAGAGAGGTACTCATCAGCTCACAACTTCCTAAAAGAGAAATTGAGTCTGGGGAGGCTTGCCCCTTGGCATGTGAGCACAAGATAAAGAGTTGTGGCTGCTTGCACCGCTCTTGGTGCTAGAGGCCAAGCTTACAGCGTTTGATTCTGGGAAGGTGGCCTCCCTTTGACAGTCTCAGTGTTGTCTTGAAAATGGACCGAGTATCAATTGCACACCTATCAGGACAGCTGTGCAGACTAAAGAAATAATGCATAGAAGGCATATGACTGTGTCTGTGGACCGTGGCCAGGGGCCCTGCCTTGTCTGTGTTGTAAACGCTCCTCACACTTGATCTTGTAAGCACAAGCATTGTCTCTTTGCTTTCAGACAACAGCATTCTGGTAGAGTGGAGGCAGGTGGGGGAACATCCTATAACCATCCGTGTCAGTAAAGAACTCTGAGGCACTGGAAGGTTAAGGGGGGAAGCTAGGTATAGAATACTTAACGTCACTCTGACTGTCTGCAATTTTACACGAGTTTGTGAAATTGATAATTAGCACAATTTTAACTCCAGTGACATGCAATTAGTTATCGAGATGATTCCTCCGTGGAGAACTTTAATCATTTTGTGTCTGAGAGCTGAAAATGAAGGTGCTTAGTGTAAGTCCATGGGCTATCACATTTTTAGACTCTCCTTTTTTTTCTATTCAAACAATTATCAAACTCATTTAGTCAAATTGACTTAAAAGAGCAGTCTCCCACTCATTACCTACACCTCTCCAGTTTTCTCTGCAGCATTTATCACCTCCAACATCTATAGCCCTTTTGTGTCTATTACCTTCCCTCAGCAATATCACCCACTGTGATGTCCTCTGAGACTAGAATGGCACTCAACGTTCAGTATGCTTTGCAAAACCATAAGGTGTCTTGTGAAACAGGAGGTCTGATATTTTTATTATTCTTGCCAAGTTTTCAGATTGATTAAAAACAAAATGTTGCACTAAGGGAGACACCATTCCCTCAAATATTTGGCAAGCACGCTTCGCTTCAGGAGCTGGAGGAAGATGGCTCAGTGTTTAGGAGCGCTTGCTGCTGTTGCGGCGAAAGACCCGAGTTCTGTTCCGAGCACCCATGCAGGGTGGCTCAGAGCCACCTGTAATTCCAGCTCGACCAGATCTCATGCCCTCCTCTGACCTCCTGGATGCACGCATGTGCGTACACGAGCGTCCATATACACACACAGGCACACAGGAAAGAAGAAGAAAAAAATCTTTTTCAAAAGACTTGCTTAGGTATCAGGGATCATGTGGTGGATGTTAAAGGGATGAAGATTACAGGGCCCGGTGATTCGAACTGGAATCCCGGTTCTGTGAAGGCTGAGACAAGGGTAGTGTGGACTCATGGCACCTCTGGGCTTCAGAGTGAGCTCAGTGCCAGCCTAGGTTACTTAGTGACAGGAATAAAAACAAAAAAAATGTTACAGAGTCCGAGGTTTGCGGGTGATGTAGCTCTGTAGTAGAACACTTGTGTCACATATACAAGACCCCGAGATGAATCCCCCATACCACAAGAAAAGATCATTTTTCAGGGGTCTTAATGAACCTTCTTATCAGCATTAGATGGCAGGCTAACTTTTAAAAATCAGTAATAAAAGAAAAGTTCAAAGGCAAATTAGCTTTAGCCTTTTTCAGTGAACTGGCATCGACCTTTTTATCCAGTTACTTTCTGCCACAAAAGGTTATTTTCTGAATCTTCATTCTGATGATCTTTCAGATTATGAAATCAATATGTTTCACTGTAGAAAATTTCAGATACCATAAAAATATATAAAGTACATGAAAAACTCTCCTTAATCCCTCCAGTGGATTCTATTTCTGTCCTAATCTTTTGCTGTGTGTGAATGCCTTCATTGGGATTTTCTTCTACAAAATAAGGATCATGCACAGGTTTGTAGCCTGTGGGTTTTTTTCTAAAATAATCAGGATTCTTTTTACATTTAACATTATACTGAGAGTCTATATGTTATTAAAATTTTTGAAAAACATGATTTCATGGCTACATAGTATTCCGCTATAATTGCATGCCATACTTTGCTCTCTCTGTCCTCTCTTATTGGTAGCCACACTGGGATTATGTCATATTTCATTGTTATAATTAATGCCTGCCTGAGTCTCTTCTGATGTCACCGAGCCCTGAGTCAGGCTTCGGTATACTCTTCGGCAGGATCAGAACAGCTTGCAGATGGCCAAGCTCATGAAGTTGCATAGAACATCAGACCTCTATGTTTTGGCCACAGTGGTGGAATTTGACCCTGTAGAGCAGTGGTTCTTAACCTGTAGATCACTGGCAAACCTGTGTCTCCAAAAATATTTACATTATGATTCATAGGAATTGCAAAATTACAGTAACAAGGTGGCAATGAAAATAATTTCATGGCAGGTGGTCCCCACAACATGAGGTATATTCAAGGGTCACAGCATTAGGAAGGTGGAGAACCGTTGCTCTAGAGGAACAATTCTGGTAAATTAGGGCAAGTAGAGATACAAAAACCTCCAGACAGATCTTGACCAATCCAGGACCGCACATGTGTGGCCAGATGTTGCCCAGAGAAGTAGAGGTGCTCATACACCCTATCTCTAATAACATCAGAACTCGGGCACCCACCAGCGGGCTTCAAGGCCTCTTGCCCACCTCTGTGGCCATTGTCTTCTCCTACTCTTCCTCTCCTGTCTTTAACCACAGGATAAACAGCGTGTGACTTAGCAGCACTTACAGAGGCATGAACCTCCTGATCGAGGAAGTCCCCAGCTGGGTCCCTTTCTGTGACAGGACAAAGTTCTGTTGCCAGTATTAGACCTGCTGGGGTAAGAGCAGTGCATCTAACCAAGTCCATGAAAGTTCCCTACTTCCTTCCTGCTCTGAGTGATCGCATGCCCACCCACAGACCCAGGGAACAAAGCCCTCTGAGATGACATCATTCATTCATGCACTCAGTAGTCACTGTGCCCTTCCTGTGGGCCAGGCCGGGTGCGAGGTTATCTGTGACATTTACACCTGCCATCTGCAGTCCTCCGCTCTGCCCCTGAGCAGACTCAGAACCAGGGTCACCACCTCCCCTTCTCACTCTCCTGTCTCAGATCCACACTTCTGTCAAACTCACCTGTACTTTTCTGCATTTCCGGCCCAGAGCATTCGAGCGCTCTGCCCCACTCAGCTGCGGTCTCCTCCCCCGGGGATCCACCCAGCTGGCTGACTTTCCCTCACCTACCGGCTCCTATCAAAGCCCACTACAGCTGCCTTATCTAAAGGTACACCTGTCTCTGCTCTGGCTCCCCTGTGGTCTAACATGCACGACCGTTGACACTGTAGCTCCGACTTTGGCGGGAGAGGTGTTTGTGGACGCCGACAGCCAAAGACTGGCTCAAGGAACCAGTGAGACTCCTCTCACCCGCAGCCTGTTGTTCAGGGTCACCGTAAGCCCAGAGAGGTCTTCCAGAAACGACAAAAGCTGACACTGTGTGTGCCGGGCTATGAATCTTCTCTGGGCCGGGTGGCTCACCCTGCTGTCAGGCCCCTTTCTGATTTTGTGTCTCAGAACTGTCATCTGTTGAGTTGAGGTTCAGACTGAGGACCTGGTAAGCTGACAGCATGGGACAGCGGTGGTCAGGTGTGTCACGTGGCCTCCATGACGTGGCTAGAGCTCCAGCCCATTCCCAAAGCCCTTCCCTGACTGCTGTTGCCCTCTTACATGAGACACCTGGCCCAAGATCCAGCTCCAGTGTTGGTACTGAGTCTCCCCGGGGACTACCCCCCAGTACAGCCCATACCCGCCTTCATCCAGGTCTGAGTGTCCCATGACCCCAGAGTGGAGGTATTCCAGGAGCAGGAACATAAGGGAGTACAGATTACGTGGTCTGGCCACACACCATTCATCCACTTCAAAGCCTGCAGTGCTGCCTGCCCACAGTCTCTAGCATTCCCAGCCAGACAATCCAGTCAGAGATGAGTCACAGCAGGAAAAAGCCGAGTCTCTGCTGCTGGGATCGGGGAGAGGCGGGCAGGGTAATGGTGACTTCCAATGGGCCCACATTCGCCAGGACAGGTGGGGTGCACTCCCTACAGACCGAAAACCATGGTCTTGGCTCACCTGAGTCAGACATGTCCAGCTCCTCTCATTACTGTGTCATGGCTCTGTCCGCATGCAGGGACCTGGCTGGGTACTTGTTCAAAAGTCGACTGGGAGGTTGAACATCTTACTGCTTCTTTAGAGTCCAGAGAACCCCTCTTGAAGGCCAGGGATATGGATCAGGAATAGAGTGCTTGCCTGTCATGCATGGGGCCCCAGGTGTGGTGGCACACATCTGTAATTCAGTGTTCATCAGGCTGAAGCAGGAGGGAATTGAGTTCAAAGACCATATGAGACCTGGTCTTAAAAAGTAAAAATAGAAACAAGAAAAGAAAATTTCAAAAGAAAAGCTGTTCTTTATGTTGCCATGCATTTGCGGGGACCCCTTGAGACCCTGGATGGGGAGAGCATGCTGGGAAAGCACAGCCAGAGGCTATGTGCAAAGTGGTAGCTGTGGTCCACAATGCAGGGAATGGTGACCCTGGTGGTGACGAATATCAGAGTCACAATAGGCAACAGGATATGTGGAGATTAAGAACTCTGTAGAGAGGAATCCTGCCTTTTGGCACATGGAGTATTACTTTTGGCTGTCTCTGTGTAGTATCAGACCCGATACCATAGTATCAGACTAAGGTTGGCTTATGCCAATATTCCAGGTACTTTTGAAAATGTCCTCTAAACTGAGCTCTAAGCTAGTATGCGTAGACCATGATGCTCTTCCATGCTCCCAAGATGCTCCGTGTCTAGGGTCATTTAGAGTCGACTTGAAGGATGTTCACATGCTGGGGAACGCCCCGTTGTTACTGATCTGTCACCAGCAGCCAAGGAAGCTTTATGAAGAGATCTTGAAAGCTGGTAGGAGTTCTCCAAATAGACAGGCCAGGAACAATATGCTAGGGAGAGAAGATAGCCCCAAAGTCCAAGAGACCCACTGTAGTCTGATTGTGGGCTGTCTAGAACACCAAGGGCAACAGATCTCCATGGACGCCACAGGCTGTACCAGGAGGGGCAGGATCCCTGTGCGCACAGCTCTTCCTTGATCTCTTTTCTGTGACCTTGAGCAGGAAACCACCGTGAGCCTCTGTTTCCTCATCTGCAAAATTGAAATGACTTTCCTCATCCCTAAGGTCTTGTCCCAGTGGGGCAGGTGACTCTAAGTGACACTTAGCAAGTGTTCTGCTAATGTGAACTACGTGTGTAGAACCAAGTGTCCCCAAAGTCTCCCACATCGGACTGTCTACTTGACTGAGCTTCCGACCAGATGTAAAACAGGGATTCTTAAGCCCTGGACTGTAAGACACCTGTCCCCCCATGCCTGGAGAATCATCAGCCTTCACTTCAGTTCAGTGAAGCAGCACCCTAAGGGAAGGCCCTCAAGAGAAGGTGACCTGCACCTCTCCATGGCATTTGGTGTCCCCAGGAGCAGCACTACAGGAAGTACCTTCAGCGCCCACTGATTAAACACCTACATTATCCCAATGCACTGGAGAGTTAGGAGGACCCAAGGCTGTAGTGAGGAACTGGATATGTTCCTGGAGGTGTCAGGGAGCTGTGGAAGGGGCTTGAGCAAGGGATTGACATCTGCTCTGTCTCTAAAAGAGACTTCTCAAGGATCGGAGAGATGGCTCAGTGGATAAGAGACTTTCTCTGTAAGTGTGAGGACATGAGTTAGAATCCCAGCACCTGCATAAAAAAAAAGCCAGCAGTGGCCATGTATGCCTATAACCCCAAAGCTGTGGGTGGGGATACAGACATGGCTCCAGATTCAGTGAGAGATGTTTAGAGGGATTAAGGAAGATAATGCTAGAGCGGGATGTCTGATGTCTCCCTCTGGCCTTCACAGGCGTACAGGAATGCACAAGCACGCACTTGTGCACATGGGGCACACACACACACACACACACACACACATCTTCTGAGGCAATAGGATGAGTTGTCAGCTCACTCACATGCCCCCCTTTACATACACATGTGTGTATGTACACACGGACGTAGTAACCCCTACACATCCACAAATGTGAATGCAGACATCGGTTCTCACATGTTATCTCTGAAGACAAAGGTCACCAGCCTTAAAATTCTTCTTTAATCTTCTGGTGTGTCATTGGTTCTCTTAGCAGCCTGGGGGGATCACCTCCCCAGGTCAAAACTCTCCCTTGGTTTCTATGGAGACCAAGAGTGAATGTCAGGCCAGCCGAGGGTTCGCACTGGGAAAGCTGAGCAATGTCAGAGGTGAGTGGCAAGTCACTACCTGCAGAGGTGTCCCCAGATCAGCTGCATTCCTCCTGTCCCCACAGAGAGCAAAGTGAGCACCACCGTGAGGCCTATCACACACACCGGGTACGCCTGAAGCGTGTTCCAAGCTTATCCTTGCTTTCCCAGGAAGGACGAGAGCTTCAAGGAGGTGAAGCAACTTTGGCCAGAGTCAATGCCAGGAAGTGGCTCCATTGACTTTAGTATTAAGGGGACGGGAAGAAGCCCAAAGACAGTTGCCTTGTTCACTTACTAAACAGAAAGGCCAGTGTTTCCAGGCAGTGTGCTCACCAATGGGCTCCGCCCAACCTCTGTGTCGGTTTGGAACAGAAAACACGTGAAAGGGGCTTCTAAGTGAGGCGAGGCTAAGAACCTCTGGGGCTGACTCTCACAGGTAGATTCTGGCCACGTGATGCGATCCCCAGTGTCAGGGAGGCTGTTAGTCTCTGAGACGGAGGGAAGGTGCAGGCTGTTTCCTCCTGGACTCAGCACCCCAAAAGTGCATTTTAGGGGGCTGGAGAGATGGCTTACACGTTAGTAGCAATGGCTGCTCTTCTACAGGAGCCATGTTTGGTTCCCAGCACCTATATGGTATCTGACAACTGTCTGAAATGCTAGGTCAAAGGGATTCAAAGTCCTCTTCTGGCCTCTAAAAGCAGCAGGCATACAAGTGGACACAGACATATGGGCAGGCAAAATACCCATCCACATAAAATAATAAAACTCTTATAAAGTGCATTTCAGTTTTTGAAATTAAGTGTGCCACTTTATAAAAAGCAAAATCCTACGCTGTGTCCTTTGGGGACACACAAGGAGGGATTGACTGGGTTCAGACCTTTAATGGCATGAAATCACATCGCTCTGAAAATATTTCCCCTTGTAAAGTAGTATTAAAGTGACCTGGCATAGCGTAGCTACACTGAAAATCCAGGTGTCACGCAGAGTTCATGTGGGAATAGGTTGGAATGGAGGAGAGGTGCTTCCCTCCCACTGGCTTTTATTTCTAAATTGGTGACCTAACATATTAGGTACCTTCCAAAGGGATGTGCTGGCTGCTGGGGGCATGAGAGAAAAACAGGTCTGGAGTCTCACCCCAGCCTGTAGTAGGCAGCTGTGTGGTCTTGGCCAGGCTCCAAGACTTCTCTAAGCCTCAATTTCCTCATGTGCAAAATTAGGGGAAAAGCAGCACTCTTGGTTCTCAGAGCAAAATGAAATACAGTTTGAGCTGGGAGTCAGGGAACCCCCTCCCAAAGCCAGTCATGAAGCCTTGAGCAAGCTTCTCTCTCCTCCGGGTGTTTCCCCTATGCAATGTGCACTTTGGACCAGTCTTAAAGGATCCATCCAGCCCTGATAGCCCTAAGGCACTCAGGATGCTACAGTCTATGGATGATGTGGAGACAGTGAGTCTTCCACAGTAGAACTCCACAGCATCACACTCTACTCCTGGGTCCGCACAAGAGATCCACCCTCCACACATCACTGTGACCCCAACACCTGCCCTTGTACCCATACCTTGTAGCCCAGGGACCCCAGCCTAGGAGCATGTTCACAAGTCCCACCCCACCAAGTGATGAGTCAAGTGATGTAAACACACAGCCTCTCGACATGGTGGGTGCTATAGGCGTCCCATCACCTGCCTGTTTGTGTCTCCACAGGTGAGTGGAGGGGCTGTCCCCTCAAGAAGTCAGAGCTGTGCTCGTGGGCAGGCTGGCTCCGCTGTTCTGCTCCAAGGATTACATGTCCTTCAAACGCCCTTGCCCCTGTAAGTCTCTTCCTTGTCCAGCTGCTACAGAGCTAGAGGGTGGGGTTGTAGCGATGGCATTGGGATGTTTGGCCAAGGCACTGAGGGGAATCTGACCAGGGCCAGTGTAGAGAGACCGTGCGGGGGTGGGGGGGGGAGGACGGTGACACAGGCCATGGCAGCATCTGCAGTAGGCTCCCTGGAAACTGAAAGTCACACTTTGTCCTGTTCCCAAGATGTGGATCAAGGTTCCTCTGAAGCACGCTGATGCAGTCTCCCCCCCTCCCCCCACAACACCATGGCCAAGGACTTGTGAGGAGTGTTGGATGAGACGTGTTAGAAACATTTTGCCACTGTCAGCCTTTTCAGGTCCTCTGGAGTGATGGTGTGATGTGGTGTGTGGTTTCTGTGGGAAACAAGAGCCTTAAGTTCTTCCCACTCTTAAACAGCCACAAACAGAGCTTCATGGACTTGGGTCCTTCAGAACAGTTCCTGGGGGCTGACTGCCCTGAGAAAATCCATCCCATAGCTCTCACCAGAAAGCCTCCAGTGACGGAAGAAAATGCATGATTTTGCCTTTAAGAGTCTTCCCATGACTCCCAGTGTGAGGAGTCCATTGGTTGACCTGCCAGGTGTCCTCTTGGAACTCAGGACAACAGCCTCTGTAGACCCTTTGGCTTGGCCTCCCCCCTCTCAGGCAACCTTCATGGCTCCACAACAGAACCTACTTTCATTACATCCCTGAGCTCCCCAAAACCACCATCACTTGTAATTTGGGGAGCATGCCTAACTGTCTGTCCCTTGTTGAGAAACCGTGAATGTGTGTTGAGGTGACATTTTCAAAAGATGACCACCTGACACCTTGGTGGCCACACTCACTTGATGACAACACCTCCCCTCCCAAAGGTTTGCTTAAGTTTCTACCACGAGTCTGTGCTGTCCTAGGCTGAGCACAGCTCTCTCACACAGTCACAGCGGCAGAGGCTAACTCCTAGAATACTGAGGGAATGCCAGTGAAGCGGGGAGCAGCCTCCATCCGGCAGTCAGAGTTTGTGAGGCTTGCAAGAGCGTGTTCGGCTCATGAGTGCCTGGGGCAGAGGGCAAGGTGGCAGGATGGTGCCATGCCATCCCTGAAAACAGATCCGCTAGCACCTTTGGACACTGGGCATGTGGCATGCTTCTCTGGCCTTCTGGGAGGTGGGCAGACATTAGCCATAAAGGGTTGAGCTGCAGGTCTATTGCCTCCCAACCCCATCTCATCTTAAGATACCTTAGCTTGTCTCTGTCCCTTGTGGGACACCTCTCAGCAGCAGCCCCATTGGGAAGTTGAGAAGACGGGCAGAAAGGCAGTGAGAAGAAGAAAGAGGAGACAGGGAGCCCTGTCAGGGAAGCCTGGAAGCTCCCTGGCCATGTGGCTGGAAGAGGAAAGGGGGTTCCTCTGCTTGAAGTCATGTGTGTGAGCCTTTCCCAGCCTGCAGAGGCCTGGCCTGGAGCTCTGAGTGTGGAGGAGGGCTGGTGTTCCTCAGGAAGGCTAGGGGGCAGGGGGAAGCAGTTCCATCTGGCCTCTGCTGGGCAGAACAGCCCAGAACTCCCTGGGGACCCAAGCTCTAAGCACAGATGCTACATAGCCTCTTCATTGTCATCTAGCAGATGGCAGCACCATGTAGCTGCCTGTGTGGTGAGGGAAGGCTGCTTTCTTATAGCCTCTGGGGACAAATCTGAAAGAGGAGTTTTTTTGAGGGGAGGGGAGGGGAGGATAAAAGACTAAACATGTAGCAAAACGAAATGAAGGAGGGGGAGGCATAGCACACAATCTGTGGAGAAGTCATGTAGGCACACCACCGTCAGGTTCGTGATGGCTGTCCAAGGCCTGGCCAGGATCACAACCTGGCAAGGCCTCCTATGCCTGTGGTCCCCCTCGGAGCAAGAGTAATGTTGGGTTGCAGTATGCGATCATCCTAGCGCAGATATTTGCCAGCTGTGTGAGCCAGGGGAAAACTACTCATCTTCCCAAACACTCAGTTTGCTCATCTATGGAATGGACAATGTAGAGTCTTACAGTTTGCTGCTCAGATTTTAGGGGCCACAGGTAGACTTGAGCTTGGTATCTTGGAAAAGATACTCAGGAAACCATCGCTCTGCCTATCTCAGTATTAGCCATATCTCTAATGATGGAGATGGGGAAACAGAAGGAGGGCCTCTAGGGGTAAATCTGGGATTTGAACCATGTGTTGGCTTTCTGTTGCTGTGACAAAATACCTGAGATTATTAACTTAGAAGGAGGACAAGGCTATTTGGCTCATGATTTGGAGGTTTTAGCCCATGGTCAGTTGGTCATGATGCTTTGGGGTCTATGAGGAGGCACAACATCTTAGCAAAAAGTGCGTGATAGGGGAAACCTATTTGCCTCATGATAGCAAGGAAACACTTGAATTCCCAATATCCTCTTCAAGCGTGTAGCCCTGATGACCTGACTCCCTCCTGCTAGGCCGACCTCTCAAGGGTTTTACCACGTCACATCAACACGTGGGCCTTTGGGGGACACTCACAGTACAGCGGTTCTTTGTTTCTTTTCACAGTTACCTCTGCCACTGTCAACAAAAGGAAGGGTTTGAGGGCAAGAAGGGGAAAGAATGGAGCTCACTCAGCAATCTACCATTTCTACATCCAGGGCACACAGCACTAACTAATTATGGTCCTCTTTCCCAAAGAGCCACTCTAAGCACATGCTGCTTACCCAAAGATCTTTGTCCATCACTGGGGGAAGTAAGGTATCAAGAGGAGGGACTTTGGCCAGGTGTTTACCTCTGGGCCTCAGTTTCCTCACCCGTAACATGGGAGTCATAAAGGTATGCATGTAGAGGGCTGTGTGAGGACCCAAAGAGGTAGCTTGGAAAACCCTCAGAAGGCCTTAGGATCTGTATTTCCTGTGGCCCCCTCGCTTCCTTGATGAAGCTTTACAAAGAAGGGCCAATGTGCCCATTCCGCACATGAGGAAACCGAGTCTCAAAGAGGAAAAAGAATTAGTCAAGGTGCTACAGCTAGCTAGATGACGGTGGGGTCAGACGTGAGTAGGGGTGATCAGGTCTCAGTTTTAACTAAGCCACAGCTGGAGCAACATACATGGTGGAACCCATTTTTTTCCCACATTAAAAAAAAAAGCAGGCCAGGCGGTGGTGACACACGCCTTTAATCCCAGCACTCGGGAGGCAGAGGCAGGCGGATCTCTGTGAGTTCAAAGCCGGGCTGGACTGACAGCCTCCAAAACAATACAGAGAAACCCTGTCTTGTAAAAAAAAAAAAAAAAAAAAAAAGCTAGGTGTGATGGCATGGGCTTGTAATCCTAGAACAGGGGGGAAAAATCTCCAGAGTCTACTGGCCAGCCAATCAATGAGCTCCAAGTTGAGTGAGTCACCTTACCTTAAAAAATGAGATAGAGATAGAGGAGGCACCCAGGGTTCACCTCTGGCATGTGTACACATGTGCACACACTCACACTCACATAAGCAGTGTGTGTGTGTGTGTGTGTGTGTGTGTGTGTGTGTGTGTACTGCATGGGGTGGTATTGAAGCAAATATGCAGGAGGAGGTGGCAGATAAAGGGTTAAGAAGATGATGCTGAGGCTGGAGAGATGGCTTAGCAATTAAGAACACGTATTGCTCTTAGAGAACCCTAAATCTACATGGTAACCACCAACTGCAATTTCCAACTCCAAGGGATCCCATGGCCTCTTCTGGCCTCCACAGGCATGCAAGCAATTAGTACACAGACACATGCAGGCAAAACACCTGAACACATAAACCTGTCAAAAATATCGACATTGTTAGAGGTGATTCGGGCAGGCTGAGTCATGCAGGTGTCTTGTGGAAGAGAGCTCTGGGTAGGAGAATTCAGGAGCAGGGTTGGCTTATTCTGGCACAGGAAGGACTGTGGGCCCAAAGGACATAGGGAAGGTACCAGAGTTACCATATCAGCCAGATGATGCCCGGCCTGGGCCATGGTCGGACTTCGGCTTGTGCTGCCTGGGAATCTTTGGAGGATTATAAACTGAGAAAAAATTTGATCACCCTGGTATGGCAGCAGAGGCTGGAGGGGGACAAAGGAGAGTCAGGAGGTGAAGAAGTAGCCCGGGGGTAATGACAGGGTGTAGGACAAGGAGATTAACAGCAGAAATAGACTGGAAAGTGAGCCGTTGGGACACGGAGTGGATGGGAAGGACTCACTAGCGGCCCTGCTTGGGGCTGAGCGTGTGGAAGGACCGGTCTGCCGTTTGCTGACCTAGGGGAACTCCTGACACAGCTGGCGAACTGGCTGAGCCAGACTTGAAGGCACACTGTGTCTGAGATGCTGTGTAGACACCAGGGTGGAGAAGCAGGCAGACGGAGAAGCAGGCAGACGTATGAGCCTGGCGTTCAGGGGTGAGTCTGGGGTGGAGCGGTAAATTGGGGAGCTGTCAGTGTATGGGTGCTGGCTGCTTAGTTCAGAGAAGCTGGATGAGGTCGCTGGCGGGACAAGTGTGGGACGGTGAGGAAGAGAAGGAACTCGAGTGAGCACTGCGTCGGTGGAGGACACAATGATTGCCACATCTAGTGGTCTTGCCCAGAGCAGTATGATCCCTGGAGTTGTCACCCAAAGCCGCGTTCGTGAAGAGGATGGCGTGCTCTCCATCCCAGGAATGAGTAAGCACACTGCTGCTCCTCTGCCAAGGGCTCCCATGAGGTAGCCACCCCGACACTCAGCTCTGCCTCGCCTGGAACTGTGCCCAGGCCTCGGGAGGGGCTGGTCGTCCTCTGTGACGCCACCACAGAAATGAGCAGCCTGTCTGCTTCAGAAACCAGACAGCAGGTCCTGGTGGGAAAACCCACCCGCCCAGAGACCCTGAGCCCCTTCTGAGTCCCCAGACCATCAGCTTCTAGAGGCTGCTCTCTAGAGAACCCACCCCTCTTCCCTGAAACTTGAGGGCTCCTCCCTCTGAGCGTTTTCAGAAACTCATCCTGCTCAGCACCCTCCATACGCCTCAC